CACTGATGACGTGTTTCCCATGCGACGCAGTGTTTAGCTCTGCAGCTAGCATCGTTAGCTGTGTGGCTCTGGTCACCCGGTGGTTCGTGTTGGGGGGGGGGTTTGATGGTCGGACCTGGTCCCGCTGCCCCCCAATGTTAGCCTGAGTCTCATCTGGACGACATCATGACACAAGAGGGGGATTTGGCGTCATCTTTACCTGAACAGCAGAAACACGGAGTGTGCTGCGTGTCCGTGCTGACCTGTCTGCTGCTCGCGTGCTCCTACGTGGGGAGTCTGTACGTGTGGAGGAGTCACCTGCCCAGGTAAATAAATAACACACACACACACAAGTAAATTATAAGAAACAAACACACACACATACACGTCCTGGGCCCGTTCCAGAAAGCAGGTAGAACAAACCAAACATGGGAGTAGTCACACTGCAAGTCGCAAGTCACTCCGGTGAGAATCAAGCAAGTCAAGTCAAGTTTCCACATGACGTCAGTTAAGACAGTGGTCATCTTTAAGTTGTTTTTCTTAATATTATCTTAATAATGTGATACACCTGATACCCTTCTGTGTCTTGTACTACAATTTCAGAGATTATAATAATACTAACAATTTATTCAGCATTTTTCCTGTCATTACAACTAATGTTGTCAGGAGGTGCGACCAGGTAAAACAGTAATTCAAAGCAGTAAAAAAAGGTTAAAGTGAACAAACGGTTGCTCATTATGATGTGAATATCTATTGTACCTTATTAGTTTATTTGTACATTTGTAGCATTATTTTTCGGACTTAAAATCGGATGCTAAAGCCTCTAAAAACATTGCCAATAGAATACAATCCTAAATTATTGGATTATTATTATTATACTCTGAAGAGAAGTCCCTGAACAATTAAGTTCTGGAGATATTTGGTGGAAACGGGGCTATAGTAACAGAATCAGAGCTAAAGTAAGTTACCCTCTCTTTCTTGGGTTTGAGTGACCTCTCCTTTTGAAATGGAAAGCCCAGAGTTTCCCCCATTTCAGGGTGAACTGAACTTTTTCAACTGTTTTTCTCCAATCGACCTTTTGGAACTAAATTCAATTATTTCTGCATTGAAACTGTCAACCTGTCTTTTAGACCCAATCCCAACCAAGCTGTTTAAGGAAGTCTTTCCCTTAGTTAGCAACTCTATATTAGATATGATCAATATGTCTTTGACATTTACTTGGAATTACAGGGACTGCTTTAAGTTGGTTTGAATCCTACTTATCAGACTGGTCTCAGTTTGTACATGTTAATGATAAGTCCTCTATGCGCACCAAAGTTAGCCATGGAGTGCCACAAGGTTCAGTGCTTGGACCGATTCTCTTTACATTATATGTGCTTCCTCTGGGAAATATTATGAGGAAACACTCCATACAGTTTCATTGTTATGCAGATGATACTCAGCTTTATGTATCAATGAAGCCCGATGGCACCAGTCAGTTATGTAAGCTAGAAACGTGCCTTAAGGACGTTAGGACCTGGATGACAAGAAATGTTTTGCTACTTAACTCAGACAAGACTGAAGTTATTGTGCTAGGCCCTAAAAAACCTCAGAGAGACTTTTTCTAGTGATGTTACTGTCCTTAATGACATCAGCCTGGCATCTAGCACCACTGTCAGGAATGTAGGAGTCAGAACAACCCCACCCCCCCTTCCCCACCGGATTGTTGATGGACGGTCTGCCTCCCCCCACCCCCTTGCTCCCTATCCCTCTTCCTGCATCTTATCCCATCTCTCCCCCTATCCCTTTCCAACCCCGGCGCAGTCTAGGCCTGTGAAGGCTGTTTCGTCATGAGCCGGGGATCCGGCCGAAGATTTCTGCCTTTTAATAAGGCAGTTTTTTCTTACCACTGTAACTTTTGCTGCTTTGCTAAAGTGCTCATGATGGATAGGCCGGGTCTTTGTAACATAACAATGAGTAAGGTCTTTTTACCTGCTCTTTTGTAATGTTAACAGACAAAGAGTAAGGTATTTTACCTGCTTTCTGTAAAGTGTCTTGAGATAACACTTGTTATGAGTTGATGCTATACAAAATAAATTGAATTGAATTGAATTATTTGATCAAGGTATGTCCTTTTAACTCTCACATCAGGCAAATTTCAAGAACAGCCTATTCTTGCCCCCCTCTTCCTGCATTTGATCCCATCTCTCCCCCTATCCCCTTCCAAGCCCGGCGCAGTCTAGGCCTGTGAAGGCTGTTTCGTCATGAGCCGGGGAGCCGGCCGAAGATTTCTGGGTCAATGATGTGACGCTCATTTTTTTGTGTCCATAAGGTTTAGTTAACTTTTAAAGGCTTAAAATTAAAAAATAAATGCACAAATGACATGCTTTCATCTTTTGTTTTGAGGACCTAGTCTAAAATTTTTATTTATTATAAATTTTTAGAGAATATTTGGGGTATTTAGGCAGAAATGTCTAAGTGGTGTAACCGTTAGGCCCGCCCCCCCTGAAGGTCAAGTAGGATTTATTTTTGGGCTTTTTGTGCCTTTATTGTAGGGATAGGATAGTGGATAGGGTTGGAAATCAGGGAAAGAAGTCATTTAAGGATACCTTTCCGATAGTAAAGGACAGCTGTCATTAAAAGTAACCCATGAACACCAAGATTCCTTCAAGTGTTTGTGTCATTGTGTCGGCATGTCAGCTTGTCCCCAACCCCCCAACGCTGTAAACGTAGGGGAAACACTGAGAACTGTTCAATAGTAAATAAAAGTAATGGAACATCATTGTTCTTCTTATTATAATTATTTTAGGGAAATCGTGTCACCCAGTCAAGTACCAAGTTGTCAACATGGTATAACCACCATTGAAGGAGCCATTTTGTTAATATATTCATCATATCATGTGACAAGAAATGATATCACAAAGAAGAACCCCAGATGGTCCTAACTGCTGCAGGCCAAGTTTAGCAAAGCTCTTTAAAACATGAGATAATTGGACATTTTAAGGGCGTGGTCAGGCATGTCAAATGGTATGACCTCTGAAAAACATTAAAAATTTATGATAATTATAAAAATTTGTATTCACTTCGAAAATTAGATTTGAGATGTTCACACCAGGAAATGGGCTTACATAGGTCTCAATGATAATGCCTGTCAAATTTGATTTGAAGTGGAAATGTCAAATGGTGTACCCGGTTACGCTATTTGACTTTTATGACAAGCCTTTCTGTTAGAGGCCACTTTTGTCAAATATCAGTATTTTTTTTGTTGATTAAAGTGGTGATTCATCCATAACCTTATTATCAAGGGTCTAGGACAAAATGCCCTGGCATTTTGTAAATGTTTAGCTTCAAATTGCATATTTGTGTTCCATTCACTTGCATTTTTAAAGGTGCACTATATAGTTTTGGTAGAGAAATGTGAAAATTGGAGAAATGTACAGATTATTTGGTATATGTTCATCATAACTCTAAACACAAACTGTCCTCAGATGAAAATTTGGTCCCTGTAACACTGTTAGAAGATAAAATGCTACTGGAGAAGTTATGGTGTGGGGCCCGCAACAGTGAAAGTGTAACTCTCCTGGTAGCTTTATATCTCCAAACAGTGTTCCAGGGACCCAGTTTTTACTTTGAATAAAGTTTGTGTATTCAGTTCAGAAAATATATCAAAGAATTGTTTCACTTCCCCAACTTTCAAATTTCACAACCAAATCGACATAGGCCACCTTTAAACATGTATAATCTAATATATGTATGTATGCTGTAATATTGGCACCAGTAGTTGCATTTTAGATGTGTCGGCTATTAGGGGCCATGTGGTAGGGTAGGTAGTATCAACGTGTCACTACCAGTGGGCGCGCACTGTAGCTGTTCCCACTCAACGTTCTTGAAGCCAAAATACGCCACTTAAGGGCGCTTCCATCTTGCGATTTTGACGTCATTTGGAGCCAGAGTCTGCGCAGTAGGGTCCGGGGGCAGGAGCCCTGGTAACACGCCCCGCCCACTTAGCGTATTGCCCTGATGACTTACGCAGCCCTGCTACGCCGAAAGCGCTCTGCCGGTCTACGATGAAGAAATGTGTAAGTACAACAAACCATCGTATTCAAAGTCTAATATTTAAACACTGTGTTTTAAAAAATCCTGCTATTTTGATCATTATTGAAAATACGTGGGCTGCTGGGTCCTCTGTTTTTGCCGAAATCGTTTTATATTAGCTAGGTTAGCACCATAGACTGTAGACTACAGGTGGTAAGATATGTTGTAAACTGATAGTTTGCAATGTGATTCATGTCTGCTTCTCTAATATATTCAAGGGAACATTAAATCAATTGTTTTTTGTATCTTCATTTAGGCAAAGAAGAGATAAAAGCAGCTGGTCTGACATATTCCACAGAGGTGAAGTGTAAGTTAAAATCATCTGTTAAAAGTTTATATCCTGTGATTGTTTTGAAGTTTCATAAGAGGATAGTAAAAACAAGCTATTGTTAACAATACAGTCTTCTAAAATAAAAATCACAATGAGTCATACACCAGCTAAATGTTAAATAGAAAGGTGATGTTTTCTTTTCCATTTTACAATCAACAGAACCCTAAAAATGACTAATTTCAACCTGTATCTGCACACCTGTTACAGATATCAGGCTGGGGTCACATAGTTTGAATGAACCTCCTCCTTTTTTCACCTGTGCTTAGACTAAGAGCTGTTCCAGATGCCCTGCTCATCCACTGTGGTAGAGATGACCTTACACCAGCAGCTCTCCCAGATGAAGAGTCCTCTCTGCCATCACCCAGAGGAGCTGATCGACGTCTGCACAACTGAAGAAAGTGGACAGAGTCTGGTGCTTTGTGACAGTGAACAGTGAGAAGGCTACCATAGTAATCCTCAGAGAAAACACAGAGATCCTGGTCAATATTCAATGGTGCTATTTTCTTTACATGATGTTGCCCTGTGTTTGAAAGGCCAGATGCTGGAGGGTTGTGTTGGATTTGCTTTTCAACCACATTTTAACAGTTAAACAATCATCCAGGATCTTTATACTTTATTTGATTTTTGTTTGGATTTCTTTGTTAAATTATTTTTTATACTTTCTCCTATGTCCCAGCAGTTAGATCCGGATGGTCTCCCTTACTTATTTTCCACATGGTTAATGAAGCCAGGGGTTGTTTATTGAAGTTTTTTTTTTTTTTTTTTTCATAAAATGTTTAAATAAACTTTTTAACAATCTGAATTGACTGTCTCTGATTAACTGGAGCACGACAAAGTGTTGGTCACAGTAAAATAATTTAGCAGTTAAGTTTATAGCTCACATTTGAAAAGGCCTTGAACTGACATTAATTTCTTCTTGACCAACAACAGCTAAGACAACAGCAAAGCTAACAGACGAGCTCAGCTGGTCTCGTCTGAGATAAATGGCCTTCAAACTTATTTAATATTAAACATTTAAAGCCAATAAGCATAGCAAGATACGCATGAGATTCCATTTATTCAATCACAGACTTGTCAAACAGTCTGGCATGTTGTGCTGCTGTTTTCAAGAGTTAACTGAAGAGAAGAACTCAATCGAGAGAGGACAGGAAACGCTCAGGGGACGAGTCCTCCATGTTGTCAGGGGTTGTTGATGGATCTGAATCTGAGAGCATCTTCTGTAATAAAGAAAAACAATCATGGAGTTAAATGTAAAGTATAATGAATTTTACTGCGATGTTTCTGCCTCAGACCTGAAATAAGATCTGTCCTCAGGTTCTGCTAAACTTCAGGTTCTAAAGTTTGTTTTTAAGACAGGATAACTATTTGAGGAAAAACAAAATATATAATAAGACATGATGAATCCAATAATATGATCAGCTTTATGAATTTATGTTTTAATACAAAGGTGTTCCTGCCACTTTCTGTTGAATATTATTGTAAACTGTCATCACATGGGCCAGCCTGATAAATTAAACTAATCTTAAATATTCTCAGATAATCAGACAGCCAATTTGTGTGCTGAACCTCAACGGAGCTGGAATCAGAGTCTGGACTGCTGTTTCCTTTTGAGCATTGATTTCCTTGAAGACAGAAGAACAATTTAAACATGAACTTCTTGCAGAACCATAGAGGCTGTTAAAATCTTATGCTAGTCTTCCTTACATTTTAAGAAGGATTATAAATTGTTAAAATTAAATTAAATGTTTTTTAATCAAAGATTAAAATTACTTTGATGCTGATAGCGGTTAAAATAACACGGTCCAATCATATGAGAGATCATTTTACCTTTGAGTCCTATGTGAAGGCCTTCTCTTCAGAATCAGCACTGCAAAGACAAGATGATGGCATCCACCTTCACAACCTGCTGCTTCAGTCTGGCTGCATCATGGTCACCTACAGACACCATACACCACAGAAATACAATCAAAGTACTTCACTTTATTTATCAGAGGATGTACTGTATGCAAAGTAGATTTTTTTTTAGCTGTAATTCCTCAAAAAGATTTGAGACTGCTTTGTTATTTGAGAGCACAGATTGTTTCTTTTCCCTTCTCTCTGTTTGCCTGTACATGACCTTTTAGTGCTGTAAAAGATGCTACAGTAAATCCTGGATCAGCTGTGCGGATGGTGTGACTGTGTGGTAAAGCTTTGTTAAAGTTGTCACGCACATACTCATATGCCTTTGGAGAGTAAAAGTGCAGTGTGGTGGCAAACTGCTTATAAAATATAAAATAGTATTTTATTGGTGAGGTGCCCCAATCAAAGTGTCCTACAGAGTATCAGCAGCTTTAGAGGGAGGAGACGAGCACATTATGGAGAGGAGCGCACCGGAGGGAGCGAGCTAGGGGAGATACGCACAACCTGAGAAAAAGGAAATCCCCAGTTTAAAATATAATGTTGGCGAAAGGGAGACATAAATGTCAATGTTGAAATTCTTTTAAATGCAGAGGATGTGAATGTTCATCTTCCTTTGGCTATAAAAAGGCAACATTAGCCTGTAGTTTAATCATGGTGTTTCTCTTCGTTAACGATTATTGAAGCAAAATCAAAAATAAATGCATGACATTTAAAACATATTAACATGTGTGGGGAAAAACGCGATCTTTATGTCTTTTATTGTGCCTATGTCTCCTCCTAACTACAATAACAGCAGCATGTTGTGTGTAACACTGGTCTCCTGCATTAACACCTTCCTTTCAAAGGTGTTAAATACAGACACAGTCACAATCACCGCAATTTTTGTCAGGTTTTGTCATTTTTTAGTACAAATTCTCAATGAGCGTCATTAAATTTACAATATGATCAACTTGTGACTGTTGAATTGGTGTGTGTGGAAGACAATGCAGAACATTTATCACGTTTAAGCAGCATGATGCTCGGTTAATATTACATTACACCGCTGCAGGTTGTTGATGTTTGTGTTCACGTTTCGGTTAGTCTCTTAAATCAGTAACAGTTATATTAAATCAGATCTTACCTTTAGTTTTATCTGGATAGCTAGAGAAATATTCTACCCTCGTATATAGTACTATTAATTTCAGCCTGCACGGTGAAATTAAACCTGTTCCTCTCGGTATAGCCCACTTATCACTCAGACTGTAAACATGTACACATTAGTAATGATGCAGGCCAGATTACAATTATTTGGCTTTGTTTTTTCCCTAGATACTTTTTTGAGACCTTACCAGACGAATTTATTTTTATTGTAAAATAACTGTACAGTCAATGAACCGCATCTGTGAGCGGATTTTATATTACGATTCTTGGTTTTAAATACAATTTCAGTCACAATAACGATATAACAATATCAAGAAACATAGCATGTAAGTTATTATTTTTGCTCATTTTAAAAATAAAATAAAAAGATAAATCATGCCGGATAAGTAACCTAGCTTTGCAACATTTCAGCTAACCTTAGACTGCCTATGTGTTAGCTGGCTAGATAACGACTTTAACCAAACAATGACACATAAATCATTTTTACTTACCGAAAAATCTGCAAAGATCCCTTAGCTCCCTCAGGTCAGTTAGAACAGTTTACTGTAGAACAACTCATTTTGCCAGCTCAAAAAAGACGAAAAAACTGAACGAAAAAATTCAATGGTGTCTCGGCTTTCCTTCACTACGTAACTTTTGTTATTCACAAAGAGAGCTACGCGAAGATCCGCGGCTGTCAATCATCGTCAAATAGGACGTAAAATCCCGTTTTTCAACCTCAAATAACTTATTTAAAACAAACTTCACAGAAAAATGAGCACTTGAACACAATGTAGGGTGATAATAACTAATGATCACAGCAGAGTTTAGGTTTGGAAAAAAATTATGTGACGAGTATTTTAACTTTACAGTTTGACCCACATCCTGTCTGTTATCATTGAGGAGGCGGGGTTTATGACCTATACTGCAGCCAGTCAGCAGGGGGAGCTTGTCCAGTCCATTATTTTTACAGTCTATGGTCACTACCTGGAGCTTGCTTGCCAAAGTCTGGTACTATAGAAGGTGGCAATGCTGTTTGTGCTGTGATGGCCACCCATGATGTAAAGAAGGAGAGATGTAAAGTGTTGCCTGTGGGTATGTTATCCTTTGATTAGGGAAAAAGTAAAGATTTTTGAATTGGTCATCTGAACAACCCTTATTTGTCACTGACCCCTCTGCCTTTTAATGAGGCAGTTTTTTCTTACCACTGTAACTTTTGCTAAAGTGCTCATGATGGATAGGCCGGGTCTTTGTAATATAGCAAGAAGTAAGGTCTTTTACCTGCTTTTTGTAACATAACAATGAGTAAGGTCTTTTACCTGCTTTTTGTAACATAACAATGAGTATGATCTTTTTACCTGCTCTTTTGTAATGTTTGATGGTGATGATGATGGTGGTGATCATGAAGATCATGATGAAGATCATGATGATGATGGTGGTGATGATGACGATGATGGTGGTGGTGATGATGATGATGATGATGATGATGATGTTGATGGTGGTGATGATCATGATGATGGTGATGAAGGTCTTTATTGCTGTGTTTTCAGGGATCATCCCACAGTGATAAAAAGACGTTTCACCAGCGTTCTGATCGTGTCTGGGCTGTCTCCTGTGTTTGTGTGGGCGTGGAGAGAGTTCACAGGAATCACAGTGAGTCTCACACACACACACACACACACACACAGATATGACTATTGGATAGTTCATTACAAATTAAAGTCTACGCTGTGTGTGTGTGTGTGTGTCTCAGACTGGCCCGTCGTTCCTGGCTCTAATGGGGATTCGATTTGAAGGTATCATTCCTGCAATCATCCTCCCTCTGCTGCTCACCATGGTAAGAGAGAAACATGATGAAGAAGATGAGGATCTACTCAGGGTTAGAACTGGTCTAAAGCAATTAATGGTTCTTTGTTCCAGGTTTTGTTTCTGGGCCCCCTTATGCAGCTCGCCATGGACTGTCCCTGGACCTTCATGGACGGGATAAGAGTCGCCCTGGGTCAGAGAACATTCAGTCAACTTAATCTGCATGACACATACGAGGGAATCCCCTGATGTTCTCTGTGTGTTCTAATCATGTTCTATCTAGCTTAAATAACCTAATGTTCTTAATGTTCTATGTTCTGTGTAGACCCGTGGTTCTGGAGCCTGTGTGTCAGTGACATGCGCTGGTTGAGGAACCAGGTGGTGGCCCCGCTGACAGAGGAACTCGTCTTCAGGGCATGTATGCTGCCCATGTTGGTTCCCTGTGCCGGACTCTCCACTGCCATCTTCACCTGCCCTCTCTTCTTCGGAGTTGGTGAGTTATGCAGGTGAATTACCTGACAAGTTCTACTGACAGTTGGTGCTTTACCTGAGTGGTGGTTCACCTGACAAGTGGGGATGGGTAGTGGTTCACCTGATTGTTGTTTAACCTGAGTGGTGGTTCACCTGATTGGTGGTGGTTCACCAGATTGGTGGTTTACATGACGAGTGATGGTTCATCTAAATGGTGGTTTACCTGAATGTTTGTCCACCTGACAGGTGGTGGCTCACAGAGGTATGTGCAGTTACATTCTTATGAAAGCCAGGAGCTGATATAAGGGAGAAAATATGTAAATGTTTCTTTTTTTAACTCAAACTGTTACCTGTGCAGATGTTACCTGTTTCCTGTGCAGATGTTACCTGTTACCTTTGCAGATGTTAGCTATTACCTGTGCAGATGTTACCTGTTACCTGTGCAGGTGTTACCTCATACCTTTGCAGGTCTGTTTACTGTGCAGATGTTACCTGTTAAGTCTGTTTCCTATGCAGATGTCACCTGTTACATGTGCAAGTGTTACCTGTTACCTGTGCAGGTCTGTTTCTTGTGCAGATGTTACCTGTTTCCTTTACAGGTGTTACCTGTTACATTTGTCTATTGATGTATGATAGATGAATGATTGTTTATTGAGGTCTCATTGATTACTGATTGATTACCGATGTCTGATTGGTTGTCTATTGATGTCTGAGTGATTACTGATTGATTATTGATATCTGATTGATTACTGATGTCTGATTGATTAATTATTTATATCTGATTGATTAGTGATGTCTGATTCATTAATGATTGAGTATTGATATCTGATTGATTAATTATTGATTATTGATGTCTGATTGATGTGCGAAGGTGTCTGATTGATGTCCAATAGATGTCTGATTGATTATTGATTGATGTATGCGTGTCTCTGTTTCAGCTCACTTCCATCACATCATTGAGCTGCTCAGGTTCAGACAGGGGACTCTGTCGGGGATCTTCCTGTCTGCAGGTGAACTCAGGTGATGTTTGTTAACATGTTTGTTTACTGTTTCATCAGCTGATCATGTTTTTTTCTGGTTCTTCAGTGTTCCAGTTCTCCTACACAGCTGTGTTTGGAGCCTACACGGCCTTCATCTTCATCAGGACAGGTGAGCAGCTCTCAACTACACCTGGAACTAGAATATACAACACCCTGTATGTCTGTTCCCTCCTGGCCTGCTGATTGGTTCATAACAACACCCTGTGTGTCTGTTCTCTCCCGGCCTGCTGATTGGTTAATATAAGTGCCATTAGTCCCTGTAAATTATTGGTTCTTTGGTTTGATACCAGACCGGATGGGTCCAGATTAAAATCCATCAATATTTAGAGCATCAAGTGTTAACTGAGGTCTCACTTCCTGTTAAAAGCAGGATGTCATTTTTTTTGATTGTAAGCAGAAGTGACATCATAAACAAACATTCAGCGAAACAGAATCCATATTAATTCTAAAACAAATGCATTGAATGAAGGGCGGTGCAAACATGTCAACGATGAATGATCAAAAATAAATGTATCCACTAAATATCTACATTCAGAAAAACTCTGCAAATCAAGTCTTCAATGGTAGTGGTGCTCTGGCCTGTAGGGGAGAGTGAGCAGGGCGAGGAAGAAGGATTACCACAAACAGTCGGTCGCTTCTCCTCCTGCAGGCCTCATCACTCCAACTGACAGTGTCGGGTAGAGGGGGCAGGGGGCGTAGCTCTGCAGTTAGCCCTACAGCTCCAAGTCCAGGACAGACTGCCTGTTAGGGCTGCACCATATATTGTTTCAACATCGTCATTGCGATGTGCGCAATAGTCACACCACAAGGACATGCAATGTGAAGGAAAAAAAATAATCCATCCGGAGGCGAAATCTATATTTGAGCCTTTCAATTAAGTTTATGTAGCCTGTCTACGCCCACATTACTAATACATCTAAATGAGCATTCATTTATATATTTCACCACATTACATGCAACAATCTGCATAGTTAGAACACCTTCTCAGCACTCTGTCATCTCACCTGCTGTTATCAGGGTCGAGCAGAGCAGCGTGAGTGGTCGAGCGACTGAGAGAGAGGGAGCGGTGATATGAGCGGAGAGGAGCAGGGATTTTGACAATCTGACAGTTTGCTTATAGTTAATATCACATAAGGGGATATATTTAACACTTTTGGGGTTAATGGTTCCCCTGTGCTAATGGTTCCTGTGTGTTAATGGTTCCTGTGTGTTAATGGTTCCCCCTGTGTTAATGGTTCCTGTGTGTTAATGCTTTCCTGTGTGTTAATGGTTCCCCCTGTGTTAATGGTTCCCCCTGTGTTAATGGTTCCCCTGTGTTAATGGTTCCCCTGTGTGTTAATGGTTACCCCTGTGTTAATGGTTCCTGTGTGTTAATGGTTCCTGTGTGTTAATGGTTCCCCCTGTGTTAATGGTTCCTGTGTGTTAATGGTTACCCCTGTGTTAAAGGTTCCCCTTTGTGTTAATTGGTATACCTGTGTATTAATGATTCCCTTGTGTGTTAATGGTTCCTGTGTGTTAATGTTTCCCCTGTGCTAATGGTTCCCCTGTGTGTTAATGGTTCCCCTGTGTGTTAATGGTTCCCCTGTGTGTTAATGGTTCCCCTGTGTGTTAATGGTTCCCCTGTGTTAATGATTCCCCTGTGTGTTTAGGTTTCCCCATGTGTTTTAATGGTTCCCCTGTGTGTTAATGATTCCTGTGTGTTAATGGTTCCCCTGTGTGTTAATGGTTCCCCTGTGTGTTAATGGTTCCCTGTGTTAATGGTTCCCCTGTGTTAATGGTTCCCCTGTGTGTTAATGATTCCCTGTGTGTTTAGGTTTCCCCATGTGTTTTAATGGTTCCCCTGTGTGTTAATGGTTCCCCTGTGTGTTAATGGTTCCCCTGTGTGTTAATGGTTCCCCTGTGTGTTAATGGTTCCCCTGTGTGTTAATGGTTCCCCTGTGTTAATGGTTCCCCTGTGTGTTAATGGTTCCCCTGTGTTAATGGTTCCCCTGTGTGTTAATGATTCCCCTGTGTGTTTAGGTTTCCCCATGTGTTTTAATGGTTCCCCTGTGTGTTAATGGTTCCCCTGTGTGTTAATGGTTCCCCTGTGTGTTAATGGTTCCCCTGTGTGTTAATGGTTCCCCTGTGTGTTAATGGTTCCCCTGTGTTAATGGTTCCCCTGTGTGTTAATGATTCCCCTGTGTGTTTAGGTTTCCCCATGTGTTTTAATGGTTCCCCTGTGTGTTAATAATTCCCCTGTGTGTTTAGGTTTCCACATGTGTGTTAATGGTTCCCCTGTCTTAATGGTTCACCTGTGTTAATGGTTCCCCTGTGTGTTAAGGGTTCCCCTGTGTGTTAATGGTTCCCGTGTTAATGGTTCCCCTGTGTGTTAATGATTCCCATGTGTGTTAATGGTTCCCCTATGTTAATGGTTTCCCCTGTGTTAATGGTTTCCCCTGTGTGTTAATGATTCCCCTGTGTGTTAATGGTTCCCCTCTGTGTTAATGGTTTTAGGTCACCTGGTGGGTCCGGTTCTCTGTCACTCGTTCTGTAACTACATGGGTTTTCCTGCCATCAGCGCGGCGTTGGATCATCCTCACCGTGTCTCTGTCCTCTCCTGCTACATGCTCGGCGTCCTCCTCTTCCTCCTCTTCCTCTTCCCCTTCACTGACCCCACCTACTACGGTCTCCCCACACCTGTCTGCACACTCACCACCTCACCCAGCCCCCTCTGCCTCTCTTGATTGGCTGCCTCCATGCTCCTTCCTGTGTTAAAGAGAAGGAGGAACTACAGTTCAGGTTTGTGACATGTTGAAGAGGAGGCGGAGCTACAGTTCAGGTGTGTCCTCTGGCTACTGACAGCCATATAGCCAGGTTGGCTCAGTTTCCATGCAGATCTGGGGTTATAAGTAACATGTTGATCAGCTGTTGCTGTGACACAGGAGGGGCTTTGTGTCAGTGATGTCAGAGGATCTGGTGTCATGACTTTTCTTTTGAAGAAACTCGTCAGTTAGTGAAGGTTTCATTTTATTTTCATGAGTTCAGATTTATTTTTTCTACGTTCTTGTTTTTGACGGTTTCAGTTCAAATAAAAGGGTTAGGGTGAGTTATTTTTAGAAGCAGTCGACAGATCTCAGCTCAGTGAACTTCATCTGAGGTTAAAGGAGAACTTTAAAAACAACCTGTCTCTAATATCAGTTTTATATAATCATTAAAGTTTGTGATGATGACTGGTCGTCTGGCGCAGAATCGTTAGTACCAAGGACGGAGGTGATGGAAGGTGTTTCAGGTGTCCAGTCTGTGTCGGGTATGATGATGTGACTTAGAGTTCGATAGTTTTATAATTGGTTGTTTATAAACGTTCCCTCTGCATGTTTAATTTGTGTATTTATTAAGACACACACATGAATACACAGGTTTGTTCAAGTGTTAGCATAATGCTAAAGGTAAGTGTTAGTCCTTTAAGTCCTTTCAGGTGATTTAGTGCTGGATGTTCATCTTTAATCCAGATTAACGTTATATCAGTCCAGAAGCATCAGGTGCATCTTTCCGTTGTACTGGGATATACATTTTAGGGTTAGCTTGATGCTAACACATACTCATGCTGCTCTAAGTCTGATTCAAGAAAAGATCAATTACCTGATGTGGTTTTAAACTCTGCAGTTAAAGGGTCACAGAGTTCAGGGTTCTCTTCTGGTTTCAAATCGTTCATAGAAACACACATCAAAGCAGAACAACGACACCAGCATTTCTCCATGACGTCTGAGCCACAGCTCACCTGTCCTTTATTCTAACCGATCTCAGCTGCTCTGACAGAAAGAACTCTTGAAGTTAAAATCAAACTGTGAAGACGAAGACGAGGCTGCTTTCATCTTCAGCAATAAATAAATGTGTGTGTGCACAGGAAAAAGGAACCGGTGTGTGATGTGAGTTTTTCTGTAACCTGAAGCTGCCAGCAGGGGGCGTCAGAGCTCCTCTGTGGGAACCATCCTTGACCAAGAAACCATCCTTTCATTGTGATGAAAGGAGGAATGTTCTAGAATGATAATAAGCTTGACCCACTCTGGCTGCACACAGGGACACGCGTGACAAAGTGTACATGAACATTTATGAATAGAAATGATTATTTTTCACTGGATAAAGATACACACTCGCAGCAGGGTGTTTCTGCTGCTCTGAGATTCAAACATTTAATACACAAAAGAATGTGACATGTTTATATTTTTAATCAGATCTATTTTGGATCACAGGTACAGGTGTGAGCATGTCACTGAGTCACACGATGGAGGATGTTTTATTAGGACAATCGTTGATGTCTGTAAATAAACTCTGAGCTTTTGTACAGTCTGACTGTCTCTGTGTCATTCATCAGTTCAGTCAATTTTAACTGACTGCTTCACCCACCCGCCGATCTGTTCACACCAGACATGTTTGCCTCGTATTTTACTGAAAAAATTAAAACCATCAGTAACCAGTTTTCTGAGCCTGACCAACTCAGACCAAAGGCACCAACCAAAAGTGCCTCACTCGACTCATTCTCCTCTCTGACTGAGGACGAAGTCTCTAAGCTTGTGCTAGACTCTCGGCTCACCACCTCTGGACACACTAGGAACATACTAAAGTCTCTTAGAACATACTAAACTTTCTTAGAACATACTAAACACACTAGGAACATACAAAACACTAAGTGCATAATAAACTCTCTTAGAACATACTAAACACTAAGTACATAATAAACTCTCTTAGAACATACTAAACACTGAGAACATACTAAACACTCTTAGAAAATGCTAAACTCTCTTTGAACATACTAAACACTAAGAACATACTAAACACACGAGGAACATACAAAACACTAAGAACATACTAAACTCTCTTAGAACATACTAAACACTAAGTACATAATAAACTCTCTTAGAACATACTAAACACTGAGAACATACTAAACACTCTTAGAAAATGCTAAACTCTCTTTGAACATACTAAACACTAAGAACATACTGAAAACTCTTAGAACATACTAAACACTAAGAACATACTAAACTCTCTTAGAACATACTAAACACGAAGAACATACTATACATTGAGAACATACTAAACACTCTTAGAACATACTAAACACTAAGAACATACTAAACTCTCTTAGAACATACTAAACACACTAGGAACATACTAAACACTCTTAGAAAATACTAAACACTAAGAACATACTAAACACTAAGAACATTCTAAACTCTCTTAGAACATACTAAACACACTAGGAACATACAAAACACTAAGAACATACTAAACACTCTTAGAACATACTAAACACTCTTAGAACATACTAAACAGTCTTAGAACATACTAAACACTAAGAACATATTAAACACTCTTAGAACATACTAAACACTGAGAACATACTAAACTATCTTAGAACATACGAAACACTCTTAGAACATACTAAACACTGAGAACATACTAAACACTAAGAACATGCTAAACACTCTTAGAATATACTAAACACTAAGAACATACTAAACACTCTTAGAACATACCAAACACTAAGAACATACTAAAGACTCTTAGAACATACTAAACACTAATAACATACTAACCACTCTCAGAACATACTAAACACTAAGAACATACTAAACTCTCTTAGAACATACTAAACACTGAGAACATACTAAACACTAAGAACATACTAAACACTCTTAGAATATACTAAACACTCTTAGAGCATACTAAACACTAAGAACACACTAAACACTTAAGAACATACTAAACTCTCTTAGAACATACCAAACTCTCTTAGAACATACTAAACACTCTTACAACATACTAAACACTCTTAGAACATACTAAACACTGAGAACAGACTAAACACTAAGAACACACCAAACTCTCTTAGAACATACTAAACACTCTTAGAACATACTAAACACTGAGAACATACTAAACACTAAGAACATTCTAAACTCTCTTAGAACATACTAAACACTAAGAACATACTAAACACTCTTAGAACATACTAAACAGTCTTAGAACATACTAAACACTAAGAGCATACTAAACGGTCTTAGAACATACTAAACACTAAGAACATACTAAACACTAAGAACATACTAAACACTCTTAGAACATTCTAAACATTCTTAGAACATACTAAACACTAAGAACATACTAAACACTCTTAGAACATACTAAACACTAAGAACATACTAAACTCTCTTAGATCATACTAAACACTGAGAACATACTAAACACTAAGAACATTCTAAACTCTCTTAGAACATACTAAACACTAAGAACATACTAAACACTCTCAGAACATACTAAACAGTCTTAGAACATACTAAACACTAAGAGCATACTAAACGCTCTTAGAACATACTAAACACTAAGAACATACTAAACACTCTTAGAACATACTAAACGCTCTTAGAACATACTAAACACTCTTAGAACATACTAAACACTCTTAGAACATACTAAACACTAGGAACATACTAAACACTAAGAACATACTAAACTCTCTTAGAACATACTAAACACTCTTAGAACATACTAAACACGAAGAACATACTAAACACTAAGAACATTCTAAACTCTCTTAGAACATACTAAACACTAAGAACATACTAAACACTAAGAACATACTAAACACTCTTAGAACATTCTAAACATTCTTAGAACATACTAAACACTAAGAACATACTAAACACTCTTAGAACATACTAAACACTAAGAACATACTAAACTCTCTTAGATCATACTAAACACTGAGAACATACTAAACACTAAGAACATTCTAAACTCTCTTAGAACATACTAAACACTAAGAACATACTAAACACTCTCAGAACATACTAAACAGTCTTAGAACATACTAAACACTAAGAGCATACTAAACGCTCTTAGAACATACTAAACACTAAGAACATATTAAACACTCTTAGAACATACTAAACACTAGGAACATACTAAACACTCTTAGAACATACTAAACACTCTTAGAACATACTAAACACTCTTAGAACATACTAAACACTAGGAACATACTAAACACTAAGAACATACTAAACTCTCTTAGAACATACTAAACACTCTTAGAACATACTAAACACGAAGAACATACTAAACACTAAGAGCATACTAAACGGTCTTAGAACATACTAAACACTAAGAACATACTAAACACTAAGAACATACTAAACACTCTTAGAACATTCTAAACATTCTTAGAACATACTAAACACTAAGAACATACTAAACACTCTTAGAACATACTAAACACTAAGAACATACTAAACTCTCTTAGATCATACTAAACACTGAGAACATACTAAACACTAAGAACATTCTAAACTCTCTTAGAACATACTAAACACTAAGAACATACTAAACACTCTCAGAACATACTAAACAGTCTTAGAACATACTAAACACTAAGAGCATACTAAACGCTCTTAGAACATACTAAACACTAAGAACATATTAAACACTCTTAGAACATACTAAACACTAGGAACATACTAAACACTCTTAGAACATACTAAACACTCTTAGAACATACTAAACACTCTTAGAACATACTAAACACTAGGAACATACTAAACACTAAGAACATACTAAACTCTCTTAGAACATACTAAACACTCTTAGAACATACTAAACACGAAGAACATACTAAACACTCTTAGAACATACTAAACTCTCTTAGAACATACTAAACACTAAGAACATACTGAACTCTAAGAACATATAAACACTAAGAACATACCAAACTCTCTTAGAACATACTTAACACTCTTAGAACATACTAAACACTAAGAACACACTAAACACTAAGAACATACTAAACACTCTTAGAACATACTAAACACTAAGAACATACTAAACTCTCTAAGAACATACTAAACACTAAGAACATACCAAACTCTCTTAGAACATACTTAACACTCTTAGAACATACTAAACACTAAGAACACACTAAACACTAAGAACATACTAAACACTCTTAGAACATACTAAACTTTCTTAAAACATACTAAACAATGAGAACATACTAAACACTAAGAACATACTAAACTCAATTAGAACATACTAAACACTCTTGTGAAGGTAGGATCATGGAGAATGGTCTAAGCAGTAAATATTTACAGTTCGCAGAGCGGAGGTTAAAGTAGGAATGTTCTCTCAGTGTCAGGTCATTTTTTTTTCATTAAAGAAGAGCAGAATGCTCCTCAGCATTCACACGACCTTATTTATGTTTTTAGAGCCATGACTCATCTCTGCAGGAGGAAAATATGCTGAAGGAATTCCGGCCGGCTTGGATTAGACCCCCCTCTCCCCTCCTCGGGGTTAATGGTGAGGAGCTGTGAGAGGGAACAGATAAACAAAGGAACACAATGTGGATCTGATTTATCTCTGGAACACGTCACAGAATTTAAGAACGTAATGTTGTGGTTCGAGGAACAGGCGTAGTAAAGTTTTGTTTTTTTTCCCAGGAAGTGCAATGACTGCTATATCTTCTGTTAACCTCCCCTAACGTCCCCTAATCCTGGCCAACAGAAGCATTGTGCAGCCAGACAAAAGCAGATAAGTGATTAGAACACCAATGACACTTCAAAATGTGGCCATTTCTTTCACTTTATCACAGAGACACTGAGTGTAATCAGAGGTGTCAGCTAGAATTGGCAAAGCTAGCATCTGCTGAGCAGCTCCTTGAACAACAATGTGAAGTGCTTTATGAAGTGTGATGTGACCTTTGACCCCTCCCCTCTGAGCTGAATGTAAATGTATTTACATTCATGATATTTAATTTAAAGACAATCTGAGCGTTGGTATGTGGAGCTCAGCCCTCTGCTCGGGGTTGATCCTCCTCACAGGACGTCCTCTGCAGGACTCCTGACTGTTTCTAAATTATAATCTTCTGTAGGTCACAACCAAAACTTGTAATTCCAGTGTTCTCAGGAGGAGCTGAGCACATAAACACAGAGAGCAGCTTCACTCGACACCCTCCCACAGAGAAACTGAATCCACAGAGCAGAAACACAGCTCAGGGACCATCATGGAGGATTTAACACAGAGCCAGGATTTACAGAAGTTAACCTCCAGAGGACAGGGTCCCTTTGTCTGTTACTACAAACTACAGATATTCAGATGTGATTATAGTGATTATAAAATATGAATTCAAACCTTGATGCTAGGTTAAAGGGGACTGAATGACATCAAGGATTATTCTGTATCATTCTGTTTTTAGAAAAATGATTTCTGATAAAACACGAGACCTAACCTGAAAAAAACAATATGAGCTTCAGCTCACTAGCCCTGTCAGACTGGATGAGTTAATACTGATGGAC